AGTCGTATTCTTAAATTTTTTTTCAAAAAATTTATTTAAAATTTAATATTTTAATTAATATTTTTAAAAATTAATTGTTAAATTAGAAATTCTATTTATATAGATCATGTATATTAATTTTTATATTAATATAACATTTATAATCTTTTGATTAAATAAACTTTAATTCCTAACATATATTTAATGATATTAAATTTTATGTAATTAATGAAATTATCGCTCTAACACTTATAATCCTTTGATCAAATAAATTTTATTTATTGACATCTATTTAATGATATTAAATTTCATATAATCAATAAAATTATTAAGTTTATTAGAACAATATAAAAATTAATATACATAATTTATATGAATAAAATGTTTAATCCATACACCTTAAGGTATTGCTGCCTAGCCAGGGTTAGGCTAGGTTCTCTCCACCGGGTTTCCTCCCCTCATGATAGGACCCCCTTTCCCCTCTTTTTCCTCGCTTTTCCCAACCCTAATTGTTGCAATTTGTGCCCAGCCTTGCCACCAGTAGCAATTCTTCTATTCCCAAGAGAACTATGCCCAATCTTAATAGATTGCAGCAAATCCTTTTCAGCCCTATTAATGATGGCAAGCATGAGCAAGGGGGAAAAACCTTTGAAAACTAGCAACATTTGTAGTAGAGCCAACCAAAAATATAGGATTACTCCTTGCACGGATTCAACTTTTAGAGGAGGAAAACTCTAAGCTCTCTTTGGAAGGTGAGTGGAATAATTCGATCTACTCATTTGAATCTTTTTGTTTGGTTGTAAAGATATATACCTGTAAGAGGATCAATTTAACTAGTCTCTAAAACGCCATAGCAACTTCCATAGGATCAATTTAACTAGTCTATAAAATGCCATAGCAATGTTGTGGAAGACAAGCCGTGCTTTATAGGTTAAGGAAATTGGTGAAAAAAATTTCTTATTTCAATTTTCAAGCAGTTATGATTTGGATAAAATTCTTCAGAAATTGCCATGGAATTTTGGTCAATCTTTGATTATCTGACAACATTTTGATAAATTTTTGGACCCTGATATCTA